TGCCTCCTCCAGGCGCTGCCCACTGGAGGAGGTGGGACTTGGAAGCAACGAACACCCGTTCAGCCAAGAAATGAACCATGCGGTTTGTGCCCATCTCTCGTCGGGATATAACGAATATTCGTTCATTTTCTCATCTGCAACCAAAAAAAGGGTCAAGATTTTCTGTTGAAAAGAAATAGGCAGTCACTGTGAGATTTTTTTTCGCTCAGCATGACAACAACAAAAAATCTTTTTTTAATATGAAAATCTTTTTTTTGAAGGTTAAAACATTGCATTTTGCACAAAATACGAGATTTTCTATGCAAAATACAGTTTTGTGCAAAACAACATCCAATTGTTTGCAATGGTTTCCATTAATTGTTTGCAAAAAAGGTGCCAAAACGCAAAAGAAAGAAAAAACACCAAAAACCCTTGGAATTTTGCCCAGCCGAAAAATAGCTTCTGAGTTTTTTCATTCTTGCTCCTGATAACAGAACAAGCAAATGTTGACATTCCAAGTAACTAATGTACGAGGGAACAACAGACTAACAGGTAGCCAGGTGGGTCCAGGTATTTTGTTTGCTCTTGATTACCCACTCATCACCCATCAATCACTTTTTTTTTCTCCTTTCAGGGAATAGCCCTTTGCTTTCTTTTGTCTGCAATGGATGGTGAGCAAAGAGACTTTGGGCTTGGCTAGATGGCTCAACTGGAGCAGGTTTGAGTGGGCTAAATAGGGTCAGCTAGGATGCACAGAGCTGAGGTATGCCATTTGGTGCCATCTTTGCATCCACTTGGCATATGGACCTCAAGCACCCCTATTTGGCCTGCCTCCCTTTCAAGAAAGAAGAAATCTAACAACAACAACAAAATCCCACTCTTTGCCTCCTTCTTTCTCTGCCCCCAGAAGAAGACTAGCTTGGGGTCCGGGGCCATCAATGTCGGGCCCCTGTATCAAGAAGAACTCCTAATCTCAAACTTGGGTTTGAGTTAAGGAAGAAGAATGAATCTTTCCAAAAGCGTTCTGTTTTCCTGTCCTCCTTTGACCTCTACTTCAGCAGCAGTAAATCACAGGTCTCAAACCTATTGGGTTTCTACACTAGCATAATGCAGTTGGCTCAAATTGCCACTAGAGGTGAGCATGAACTGCGGTTTGGCAATTTGGTTCTGTTTGATGTGGCACCTGCAGAGGTTTTCCATGGTTGCTGGATGCTCCCGTCCCCTACCTCCTTTGTGCAGTCGCCCATTCACTTCCCTCCCCTGCCTCCCCATCTCAGTGAGCGGCTGCCAGAGGAGGCAGAGGAGGGAAGTGCATGCTGTGGAGGCAGGGGACGGAAATGTGTGGTGCCCACATAACACCTCTGCAGGTGCCATGCCAAATTGGGTGGAACTGCCGAATTGTGGTTCATGCCCATATGTAATTGCTGCTAGTTAACATGTTAACACAGGTATTTCCTGTTATATGCTAAGTCATGTTACATCACAACTGCCCGCACCAGCAATAGCAGGAACACCAGGAATCTGGCAGGCAACATCTAGGACTGCTGCTTAATGATCATTTCTGAATGCCCCAAACCAAGAGCAAGTATTGTTGTGTCATTTCTCCTTGAAACAATTCTGTAAACCATTTTGTAAAATTTTGTAAATTCAGCTTGCAAATCTCAATAATACCTGCTCCAAATGGCATAAATGCTTCTTTGGTCACAAAATTCCCTGTTTGGTCCAAAAAGTGATGTGGATTGAACTTGTCTGGAGTCTCCCAGTGCTCAGGATCAAAAAGAACTGAGCGCAAATCTGGAGCAATGATGCTTCCCTGCAAGAAAAGAAAACATTAACCTAGAAACACATTGACCTACAAAGACAAAAAAAATTCAATCATATTGCATCTTCATTGGGGGCAGGGATACAGTATAAGATAAAATACACAGACCAACACATATAAAACACAAGGAATTGTATAGCTATAGGTATCGGTATAGGTTACCGGACTGAATTCAAGGTGTTGAATCAAATCTATAAAGTTCTAAATGGCTTGGGTCCAAGCTATCTCAAGAACTGGATCACATCTCATGAGCCTGCTTGAGTGTTAAGATTATCAGGGGAGGCCTTTCTCTCAGTCCCACCACCTTCACAGGGGCATCTGATGGGGATACAAGAGAGGGCCTCCTCTGTGGTGCTCCTTTAGACTCTGGAACTCCCTCCCACTGGAGGCTAGGCTGGCACCATCTTTATTGTCCTTCCTCAAGCAGGTTCTTCAGCCAAGCTTTCTCTTGGGTGACTGGCTGCCTCAGTGGAGGTTTTACATAGATTTTTGTACCTTACTGCTTCAAATGTGTTGTGGTGTTGCTTATGTTTTTTCAATATGGTATCTGTTTGATCCTTTTAAGTATTTGGCGCTGTGGGTTAAACCACAGAAGCCTCTGTGCTGCAAGGTCAGAAGACCAGCTGTCATAAGATTGAATCCATGCGATGGAGTGAGGTCTCCTCGCTTGTTGCAGCTCCTGCCAACCTAGCCATTCGAAAGCATGCAAAATGCAAGATGCGAGTAGATAAATAGGTACCACCACGGTGGGAAGGTAACGGTGTTTTGTGTCTAGTCGCGCTGACCACGTGACAACAGAAGATTGTCTTCGAACAAATGCTGGTTCTACGGCTTGGAGACGGGGGTGGGC